CAATACTTAAAAGGATATATATATCCTTTAACTATTACAAAAATGTATCTTATTTGTGTATCACTCGGCTGTAGATCCTCAAATCATCTCTGAATTGGTGCCGACACTGTCCTCCCTTCTGGAGGGAGGCTACGTTTGACCCCCATGGTCCCTGTGTGTGTTGTAAAGTAGTCACCGCTCCAAGCTCACACCCATGATGGACTACAATCTCAGTACAAATTAGTAAACTAAACATTGACATTGTAGTCCATCCCAGGAGTGAGCTTGGAGTGGTGACTACTTTACAACACACACAATGACCATGGGAAACAAAAGTAGCCACCCTCCAGTAGGAAGGACAGCGTCAGCACCAATTCAGAGATGATTTGAGGATCTACAGCCGAGTGATACACAAAATACATATTTTTGTTAAATAGTTAAGAGACTTGAATCCAATTTCAAGATTTAAAAGAGAACTATGGGGTAAGTGTTTTCCCCCATAGTTCTCTTTAGTGTCACAGGAGGATATATACTAACCTCCTCCCGTGACCCAAAGCTCAGTATATCACAAGCTATTGCCCGCCATATACGGAGATCGCCGCAGCCGATACTGATCCCGACATTACCGTCGAGATCCACACAGCTGCGTGAGTGACAGCTGGCTCTGCCTCTGTGCCCGCCCCCTCCCCAGTTCGTTCCTCCACTCAGCACTGGAGGGATCGGAGAGGGGAGGGATCGGAGAGGGGAGGGATCGGAGAGGGGAGGGATCGGAGAGGGGAGGGATCGGAGAGGGGAGGGATCGGAGAGGGGAGGGATCCCTGCGAGGAGCAGTGACCAACAGTCACCGCTTACTGCAGGGAGACGATCGAGAAGTGAGCAGATCGGTGCATATTTCTGCTCACTTCCCGATCTATAGAGCCAACTTGTGACAGCTTCTTTGTCACAGGTCGACTAACTATGAGTGGAAATGAGAAATGAGTTTACTGTAGTGTCACTTTCCTTGGCTTCCTGTTGGCCCACCCAAGCACTGACAATAAAAGCCTCCAACTTGTGACTTGATATTGGCCCCTAGGTCCTAAGCGAGCATCATGGGAGGAAGGGGGAAAAAATTAAATCACATGCTCCCCCATACCTGAAAGTACTGGGTACTTTACAAAGCTCTGGCAGCTAGCACAGGGAAAGCATGTTCAGCGGAGGGGGCAGGATTCTTTTGAGTAGCAGTATACTGTGCAACTAAATAATTACTAGCTGCACCATTCAGCATCTCTGCTCTCTCTGTAGAACACCCAACATGCTGCACTGGCATGCATTCTGCCCACTCTAGTACCTCCTTCCAGAAAAGGAACACATTTTTGCTACTCTGACAAAATAAAGCAGCCTTTCTTGGCTTAGTCCCAGTAAAGGCCTTTTGTAGCAACTTCCTTGGATACTGCACCACAGATGTAATGTCTTCCTTATATTGTATAGTTCTGCGCAAACTCTTGGCGCTATATAAAATCCTGTATAATAATAATAACGCTAATGGACACTCTGTGTTCTAATGATAGCATTCATATCTGGAATGGATGGGCAGGGTTTTGGGAGGCACAACAATTTAGAGGTGGCTTCGATGTCCTTATTTTACAATGCTGTCAACAAATTTATATTCTAGGCACAAGCAGGACTGTCACTACACACAACAATAACATCCAACAACTTCATAATCAGTGCATTCAGCGGAACAATTACTGACACCACAGGGGAGAGCAGACATTAGGCAGGGAATCAGTGGAATTTAGGGACAGAACAATGCAGGATCAGGGGGTGGAGGGAACAGCAGAGCAGGGTAACGGACAACTTTATAATAAGGGATGACCTGCTGATAATGGAGGATTGACAGTGACATACCACATGAAGATCTGCTTTTTCTCTGGAGGAAGCTGTCAGATCTTGCTGCTGGCAGTGATAGCACTAGAGATTCCCCCTGCAGGCTTCAAAGAGTGTCTATGAATGTGTGCCCGGAAATGATTAGACATAAAAGAAATATATAGGAGCGGTTTAAATTTAACAGTGCAGGTTTTTGGAATTCTGAAAACCTTTATTCCAGACAGTTTATACTCCAGCACTAATGCCGTAGTAATCTGTAGTTCACCCAGCAGAAGAAGAGCTGCAACTTTCCTAAAGCTATTGCCAACCAATAGCTGGCAGATAATGATAGGTCCCAGCATATGCTGCAAAGGAAGCACTCCTAGGACCTGAATAACTGCAGGATCTGAAGTTCCCCAATAAAAGGAGGGACACAGTGACTACGGCGGATTAACTTAGACGACTATAAAACACACATTAAACATGTGCAAACATTAAAAAGGAGAACTACGAGGTGAGAGAAAATCCTCATAGTTCAAGCTGACGTGCGACAATGAAACTGTCACACGTTGGCTCAATAGATCGGGAAGTGAGGGAACACATACCGTCGCTCGCTCACTTCTCGATCCTGTCCCTGTAGAGAGCCATGACTGTCACTCACAGCTCCCTGCAGGGATTCCCCCCTCCCTGCTCCGATCCTCCAGCGCTGACTGGAGGAACGAACGCGGGAGGGGGCGGGTACAGCTGACTCTGCCTCTAGATAGGGAGAGCCAGCTGTCAATCACGCAGCTGGGTGGATCTTAACAGTATTGTCGGTATACATCCTGGCTGCGGCGGTCTCAGTATACCGCGAGCTGCAGCTCGCGGTATACTGAGCTTTGGGTCACGGGGGAACGCTAGTTTGTGTCCTCCCATGATCCCGAGGAGAACTATGAGGAAAAACACTTACCCCATAGATCTCCTTTAACTCACGCAGAACTAGAAATCCTAATACATGTCATAGCTGTTTGTAGTTCCCTAAACAAATCTAGGTCACCCTAAAACTTGGCTAGGTCAGGCAATTACAACAACCAAACTATGAAGGGAATCTATCAAAACTGGAGGAGAAGACAAAATCTGGAGCAGTTGCCCCTGGCAACCAATCAGCTTCTTACTTCAGTTTGTTCAGTTAAGATTTAAAAATTAAAGAGAGAAGCTGATTGGTTACTATGGGCAACTGCTCCAGTTTTGATAAATTCCCCTTCATGTGTTTTGACTTCACTCTACTTAAACTACACCATGCTTATTGCAGGTCAGTGGCTCAGAAGTATTGAAGGCAGAGACAGACACTGGGAGCTCCCTCTAGTGGCTAATCTATAAGTCGCTATCTTTGATACATTCGAAAAAAATATGGAACAAGCATGTGAAAAAAAAATAATAGCCGCTCGCTCCTGTGATGGACTACAATCTCACGGTTAGTTTACAAATTTACATTGAGATTGTAGTCCATCACAGGAGTGATCTTGGAGCGGTGACTACTTTACAACACACACAGGGACCATGAGGAACAAAAGTAGTCACCCTCCAGAAGGAAGGACAGTGTCAGCACCAATTCAGAGATGATTTGAGGATCTACAGCCGAGTGATACACAAATAAGATACATTTTTGTTAATAGGTAAGATACTTGAATGGATTTTTAAGATGTAACTTCTGAGTTTAGTGTCCCTTTAATTATGCATTCAGGGCTCACTCACAGCACTGCTTTGCAAAAAAGGTGTTGCTTCCATGCCTTTTATCATGACTGATACCCTAATGCACCTTGGAAACGGACAAGCGTTGCAGTTTTGCAACCCACTAATGTGCACTGGCAGCTCACTTATTTTGAATGGAAAAACCTTAACACAACGCACGTTGATAGCATGAATGGGTCCTATCAGAATGAAACACACCAGGGGAAGGAGGACCAGGGTTTGGCAGAATGTGTTATCCTCTATGAACAATAAAGCTTTGTCAAATAAAAATAAGATAAAAAAATTAATATAGCAGTGCACAGCTACTTTGTGCACTTTCCGCCATTTTGCGAAGCACCTGTGGGCAGTAATAGGAAGCCATTTGTGCGTCTATAGAGGTGACATTTTGGGAAAATACATAGCTCACCCAACATGCACAATGGTGCACTGACATCACCCACGCCTCCTGGAAGTTTTTTCTAACTTAAAATGTATTTTTGGGTACCTTTATCTATACAGGTGGCATGGGACTGTCATCTAAGAAGACCTTTACATTTTTCACTGAAGGTCCACTTTAAACTTACTAAACCACCACATAATGCAAAATTGCAACTGCTGGGGAACTACAAGTAGCAGTGTGCCCTGTCATGGCTGCAGGCTACCCACAGCTGTATAACAGACCATCACAGACATTATTTCCAAGCTCCTGGAAGCTATGACAGCAGCAACACAGCCCTTACACCCGCTCAGCGTACACAGGAGGGTGGGAGGAACAGGACGGCACCTGATCCGTGCAGGAAGATGATAGAGGCCGTGTGTTTCCCGGCTGGAGACACCACACATCGAGACAGAGAGCAGGACGCCGCCATGACACCGCTCCGGCTTCAATCCGCAAACTGCGCATGCGCCATGCCAGCACTTCCCCGCCGCCTATATACAGGCCTGAGCCCAGGGATGAGAGTGTGTCAGGAGAGCAGCGTTGGTTAGGACTTTTTCTGCTGCTGCTGCTTGGCTTCACTTTTTTAAAAAAATGAACCAGAACAGGGTACAAAAAATAAGCAAATGGCTCTGAATGACAGCCTGTGGATAAGTAGTGTTAAAAAAGTGCAAAATAAGAGCAGGCATGGCGGCTTAGCAGTGTGAAGGTGGCATCCGTTTTTTTGGCCTTTTCTTTTCCCGCTTGAGTACCCGTCAATGTACACCCCTTCATTACCAGGTTCAGTTTCAGGTTGTTGTTTTTTTTTTTTTTAGACAGGG